CGTTGTCCTGTGAATGAGCCCTAAAAGGACCGTAAGACAAATATAGGGAAAATGGCAACCCTTTCAGGTGAAAGGACATTTAAAGGGCTGTCACAGGGAAGAACAAAACAACTCGTATTGGTCAGTTGTCTACTTATTGCGATCAATGCGATGTGATGGCGAAAGGTCAGGACTACTGATTATGGATCCATAGTGTGCTGGAGACATCTGTTCTTATCTATGATGATACCAGTCAACCTGCGGCCAGATGTCACAGCACTCCCTTGATATGTTTTTATCTGTGATGTCTTTTTAAAAGAACTGGAACATTTAAACCTGAAAAAAATGCCATGTTTGCCCACAGCAACTAATAAGGTTTCACTTACTAGGAGGACAGAGACCAGGATTCTGATTGATTCCTTAGACCAGTTGGTAATAAATAGGCCTTAGATGTTACCTTGACTCTAACGACAAGGAACATGTAGGGCAGTGGTTCTCAACCTGTGGGTCGGAACCCCTTCGGGGGTCGAATGACAATTTGCCAGGGGTCGCCGGGAGTCTCCCGCTATTAGATAGCGGCTCCCGGCCGCCCTGGAGAGAAAGACTTTCTCCCGGAAAGGTTTAATCTGCTCGATCAAGCCGTGTAAACCTTTCACTGCGATCGTTTTTGTTTTTTTTATTACTGACATCGGAGCCCCGGCCGCCGCAAGTCAGAAAAAAATAAATAAATCAGCATTGGAATGCATAGCTAGATTCCTATTGGCTATTTTCCCCTGCAATGTCCATCTATATGGTTTATCAGGGTGTCTGACACCATTGGCTAACTCCTGGATCTCCTGACTCCTGGAAGTAACTCCTGCAGCAAGTTCAGGGTCAGTGTACAACTGTAGCCTCATACACCAGGACTAGTACCGCTCCTGTGGGTTGGTTAATGGTAGCCTCCGGAGCTTTAGGCTCTGACAGGTTCCCTTTATTAAGACATGAGTTATATTTCTGCAAGTTTGATAATATGGGTACACAGGCCTCTTCCTGCTCCAATAAATAAGTGGCGGATTGTCAGTGTGCACAGATGAAGATCTGTCACATGCTGTGCCAGGACTGAGAGCACTGTGCTGCCACTTCCAGATTTCCGTTCTGACAGCTTCTTAGGCACGAAAGAAAATCCTGCTGCCAGAGTATGAGCTGCTCGCTTGTTGACTACAGGCAATAGATCTACCAGTATAACTTTGTACAGTGCAGAGATTGAGCTTCCCTAAATCTGCAGGAAGTATGCGTTGAACATTTATGCTGCCTTGGCACTTATGCGTTGCAGCAATGAATGATCCATGGTACATTGCTGTGCCATTCATTTGGAATGGCACCCCAGTGCACCCTTCAAGTACATTACAACACATGTGCATTTCAGTGACCCACAGAGCATGGATGTGAACCACATTAAAAAAAAATTGCGCATGTCCAGTTTTACGTGCATTGGAGTGTGTAACGCAACACACTTTATGGTCGTCACAGGAACAGATTTCCCTCTGCTTCCTATTCCAATGACAACTGTAAAGATTTTCATTACTTTTAATCCTGCAGACAAGAGGCTGTGAATCCCCCAGGGGTGGGGGGAGGGGGTAAATGATTTTGTTTGATCCCATTGAGATAAAATCTGAAAAGTTGTCACTCAGGAAACTGGTCCAGAGCAACGATGTTCAGCCTGTGCTGTGCAAGTGCATCTAGACAGGAAGTAGCTGAAAGAAGCTAAAGGAAATCAGCAGCACTGAGTATTCTATGATTTAGGATACACAGGGGGAAATTTAGCAAAACTGAAGCAGACAAAATCTTGAGCAGATTTGCACTGCAGCCAATCAGCTTCTCTCTCTCTCATTTTCAAATCTTACCTGAGCAAACTGAAGGTAGAAACTGATTGGTTGCCATGGGTAACTGCTCCAGATTGTTTCCTCCAGGTTTGATAAATTCCCCCCGCAGTGTTTTAGGAAACTAAATGACAGTTACGGGTTACATCTATTCTAAAGCAAAAATGTATATATGTAAAAAAAAAAAAAAA